CAATCACATTTTCATATTAATTAACACAGTGTATGCACTACAGAACATGGTGCATGGACGAGAGATATGACTGGTTTAAGCAATTGCTATGCTTTATCATATTAATCGTAAATGGAATTCATATGCTTTTTGTGAAACACGATCTGAAAGGAGTGTTGAAGTGTTTAGGGGCAGAAATTTGCAACCCCCCCCCCCCCACAGACCGTGACAGAGAAATTCCATACCCATCACAGACCGCGACAGAGAACCTCCGGACCCATCACAGGCCGTGAGAGAGAAACCCCAGTACCCATCACAGACCGTGACAGAGAACCTCTGGGCCCATCACAGACCTTGACAGAGAACCTCCGGACCCATCACAGACCGTGACAGAGAAACCCCAATACCCATCACAGACCGTGACAGAGAAACCCTAACACCCATCACAGACCGTGACAGAGAACTTCCGGACCCATCACAGACCGTGACAGAGAACTTCCGGACCCATCACAGACCGTGACAGAGAACTTCCGAACCCATCACAGACCGTGACACAGAAACCCTAGCACCCATCACAGACCGTGACAGAGAAACCCTAACACCCATCACAGACCATGACAGAGAACTCCAGAGATCATCACAGACCGTAACAGAGAAACCCTAGTACCTATCACAGACCGTGACAGAGAACCTTCGGACCCGTCACAGACCGTGACAGAGAACCTTCGGACCCGTCACAGACCGTGACAGAGAAACCCCAATACCCATCATAGACCGTGACAGAAAAATCCTAGTACCCATCACAGACCGTGACAGAGAAACCCCAATATCCATCAAAGAGCGTGACAGAGAAACCCTAGTAGCCATCACAGACCGTGACAGAGAACTCCCGGAGATCATTACAGACCGTGGCAGAAGAACTCTAGGAACCATCACAGACCGTGATAGAGAATTGCCAGAGACCATCACAGACTGTGACAGAGAAATTGTAGTTTTGAAACATCGAATAAACGGTAACCTACAAATCTATCTTGAATAAATGGAACAAAACGATGCCCATTTAATTAGTAACAATAGGTCCATCGTGTTTCACATTTTTAATCCCGCAAGGGATTGCGCTAACAGCTTTTCTATCTTAAAATAGTTTTGATAATATTTAGTATTTAAAACAGGCATATAGTTTAGTAAGAAGTGAAAAAACGATAAAAGCGTCGGACTGGGCCGACCCGAAAAGAAAACTTCATTGAGCCACTTGGCCAGACTGCCCCTCTTGAGGCCTGCCGTGAACGAGAAATTTCGGTGGGCAACCCTCGATACGATGGTATTTTGGTACCCCACCGTAAAATGAAGACGGACATGAGTGGTTCACGACGGACCTCCTTAAATAATTTCCTACAACGTAACCAATGTCGTCGACGGATAAAAGCTCAAAATCCGAGTTAATTGTAACTGTTCATGTCGACCGAAAATGGAGTAGATGATCCTCAATTAATAGTTGTTGTATGAATATTTGCACGTCTGTAAAACTACTGCTTCGACTTTTTGTACTCAGTCTCAAATAATTTTCCAAGCACAATCACGGCATAACAGAACATCATAAAAACTCGATATTGCGCTGTTCAAAATATTCGCTTCAAAAGACATAATCGCAAGCGCATTTCTCAGCAAATATACACTTATAGAGAACCCTTTTCAGGAAAGTTTCCTAGAGAACTTGTTTGCCACACTGCATCGCGTTTTATTTGCAGTGAGATAAAATCTTTTCGAATTATAGAAGAATACAGCATTGGATAGTTGTATTTATACGTTGACACTCACGAGAGAAGTACTCGAAGTTTTTCATTGACTTAGAGTTCGTATCTTGCCCACAAGTAAACCTCAATGTCAATAGTCAAAGCCTAAAAGTATTCGTGCCTGTCGGCTGTTAAAGCCGACTTATGACTAGTTCACTGGATTTTCGATTTTGGGCAAGGCATTCATGGAAAAATCAAACGATAGTGTTTTGACCCGAAATTTTGCCTATGAAGAAGCCTCATGTTTATTAGAATGTCCTAAAAATTTCAGCCAAAACGAGTACTCTATCCTTGAGATACTGAATTTTCAAAACCGTTCAATTTTCTGACTTTTCTGTGGTATATCATCATTTTTTAGCCAACCTATATCTTAAGGATAAAGCATTCGTTTTGGCTGAAATTTTTAGGGCATTCTAATAACTACGAAGCCTCTTTATGGGCAAAATTTCAGATCAAAACACCATCCTTTGATTTTTCCTTGAATGCCTTGCCTAAAATTGAAAATCCACTGAAATGGTCATAAGTCGGCTTCAATAGCCCACGGGTATGAATTCTCGTAGGCTTTGGATATTGACATTGAGATTGAGATTTACTTGTGGGCAAAATATGAGTTTTAAGTCGAGGGAGCAGTTCGGATGCTTCTTTCGTCAGAAACTGGATTGACAATCCATGTTATAGACGCATTTTGACGAGAAGGACTTTACAGTAGCTAATCTGTGCTGTTCATTTCGTACAATTTCAGAAAGTTTTTACCGCAAGAAAATAATTGTAACGATATGAAAATAACACTATACAAGATTAGTGGTTCTGCTATAGGACAAAAGACTCCACTCAATACTCGTGACCAAAAGGGCTTTGTAAAGAAACTGTACTTTCAAGAAACATACATTTACTTGTTGTATCCGTGCCAAACCTTGCTGGTCCACAAGCAAATTAAGAGTGTATTGTAATCACGTTGTTGTATGAGTGAGATTGAAGCATTGTATCGTCAAGATATACGCGGCAAAATTACCTTGATTTGTGTGCATTCATCTGTGTACGTTAATTGTATGAGTATTACATTATCAATCGATTTTTTTTGTCTCATAAAAAAGAATACCGTCGTTTTGCTTGTTCTGTTTCACGCCATACAAAAAGCTTAATTAACGATAATACACAGCCGATCACATGGTTGGAACAAATGTGCGCTATACCGCATATTCATTTGTCCTTTGATCACAATAATAGCACATCATTGACAAATATCGACGCTTCACCATCGATAATTTGCTTCTAAATAGTATAGTTCTGCTGGAACTAAATTTCAAGTATTCCTTTTACAAGTGAGTCGAGACAATCGATTTTAACGACAGCTCTGTTTACGGTCCAAACATGGATTCGAGTCCCGATTTTCATCTCGGTATCAATGGGGGGACACGACTTCATTAAGACCATAGAGTCGCTACTAGTTCGTGTATCGATTCACATCTAAAACTTGTCGTCGTACAAGTTTTAGGTTCCATCCAGTACATGTCTCAGTTCGACACTCACGATGGAAGATACTGAGACAGTTGAAAGATTTTGAGCTAATATCATGTTCAGTGATAAGAGACCTTGAGATTAGAATAGACTTCCAAGGATTTGTGCTGACGTTAAGATTTGACCGAGATATTGGCTTTTTAGTAAATTTTTTCTGCATGAATTCCGTTTTTCGATAAAATCCTATTGTCGAATTTTTGCCTGAAAACTTTGCCCAGAGGAAGATCTCGGTAAGACTAGCTTATGTACAAAATTTCAGAAGTTTTCGATCGAATATATCTGGGATATACATTTTTCAGACTTTAGGTGGTTTTCCATTCATACAGTGTAAAAAATTCATATTTTGGAATACGCATATCTCAGATGTAATCGATCGAAGATTTCTGAAACTTTGTATACAAACTAGTCTCATTGGAATCATCATCTTGGCAAAGTTTTCAGGCAAAAATTTAACAATGGACTCTATCGAAAACGTGAGTCCATGCAGAGTAAATTCACTAAAAAGCCAATATCTTGGCCAAATCTGAAGACCCTAGTCTGAATCCCATTGATTTCTTGAGAAACCCTTGAAGGATCTTTCAGGATGTTGAATTTCAAGGGTCTTATCAAGTTTTATTTAGGATCCTATTTCGAATCCTAGTAAGTCCTGCTTCCAGAATTTTTCAAGATGAAACAGGATTCTGTTCAGGATTTCTTCAAGGTCCTACTCAGATATTTTTCTGAGTTGAGAATACAGGATCCTATTAGGATTTACTCAAGATTCTGTCAAGGATCCTCTCAAGATTATGAGAGAGGATTCTGCTAAGATTTTATCAGGTTCTCGTCAGGGTCTAGGTGAAGTCTTCGTATCAGGATCCTGTCAGAAGTGATAACCATATCAGACGAGGCCCAAGAGATTCAATCCGACCTGTGGATCCTACCGGGAACCGATTGGATCCGAAATGGATTGCATCGGAATCCGGCGCCTTCCGTTAAAACCGATCGGATCCGAACCAGTTTGCGTCGGATTCCTTGCACAGGATTCCGGACCGGATTACGTCGGAAAATATCCGTTCGACGGATTCAAACGGATTTCAAATCCATCCGACAGAATCCGATCGAGCGGCTTTCCTTGGTTTGAATCTCTTGGGTGCCTTTTGGAGAAATCGAGATACGCAAGAGATTGAATCCGACCTGTGGATCTTACTGGCAACCATCGGATCCGAAACGGATTGCATCGGAATCCGACGTCTTCCGTTAAAAACCGATCGGATCCGCTCCAGTTTGCGTCGGAATCCTGTGCAAAGGAATCCAGATCGGATTACGTCTGAAACGTCGGATTCAAACGGATTTGAAATCCATCCGACAGAATCCGACCGAGCGGCTTTGCCTTGGGGGATCTTGACAAGAAAATAACAAGATCAATCAGAATACGAAACTGACTAATCCTGCGAAGTATTAATCAGGGGATTCCCGCTCTTCGCCAATAAGACTTTCGCCAATTATTGGCGAAGGTCACGAAGGTGTATTGGCAAAAGCTTATGACATTATTACCATCTACTCGACTCTGACGCATATACTTAGAATATATTTAAATATGATTAGATCAGGTTTTAGAGATAAGATGCTGGAGTAAAAAAGAAACAATAGACAAAATGATGTTAAATAAAGCAGCAATAAGAAGGAAAAAAGCGAGATTATGATATATATAAAAAAATCATCAAGAAAAATTTAGTCATGATCCGATGATAAACTTGATGATGAGCATGATGAGTCGGATTTGGAAACATTATTTTTATTTTTTTTAATCTTTTTACCACGACCAACTGGTTCACCAACGAGGTGTGCAAGAGACATTACTATGTCAATTAAAGATCTCTTCTTTGAATGTAATAAGTGTAATAATTTCTCAATTTGTTTACTTTTACGTGCTGCTGCACGTGTTGATTTTGATGGTTTAGTTGATGAAAAATTTAAACTAATTTGAACCATCCGATGAGATACAATACTCTCTTCCTTTTTCAGCCATTGAATAAATCACCACATGTTTGGATGTGATTGAACAACACGTGCGATAAATCTCTTGTTTTGTGCTAAAACAAATATTGGAATACGGGAAGTTCATTTAGCCAAAAGTTTCAGCCGTAACATATATCAATCAAATTTCCTACCTGAAGATTATTTCAGCTATATATTTAGAATGTTGTACTGCACACTAGTTCATTCGCAGCCATTTTCGGTTAGTTAATTCTAACAAAATCTAAAACTGTGAATAAAATTTATGGCACGAAATAGACGAATATTATCTATGAACGTATTAAGTACCAATCTCTCTGATCAATGTCAGGGTTATTTTTAAATGTATGAATGCTCAATGAATTTCCACTAATATTGCCAAAACTCCAGTGAACTTTCACCAATTGGTGAAAGTAACGACATTCCTTGGCGAACGTTCACTGGATTTTCACCAATTGGCGAAAGTGTACGGAGTACACTGACGAAAGACTAGTAGACGTTCGCCAGTAGCGAGGGTGTGGGTGTGGGTGTGGGTGTACGGTGTGAATGTTTCTTTTCTCTATCCACACCCACTTCCACACCAGCACTCACACCCCACACTCCTAGCAGTATAACGTATGGCGTCCAAAACTCATGATAGTGAACATCAACTGATCATTATCAACAAACTAGAAAGAGTCGTCTCATTTCATTACCTCTTACCACCCACTCTGGTAAGGTGTAGAGACCAACAAAACTCTCCTAGATGAAAGCAAAATACACGATTTTGCGAGAAAACCACAAAGGTGAAGGATCGTTTCACTACGAGATATGAAAAAATTGGAGCATAAGTATACTGAACGCTATTAAGGAACCGTAAAACTTCGCAAACAACATGCAGAAGTGGTGGATGCAAGTCTCATTCACCATGTAACTCTATCTCTGTACTATGAATAATTCTATCTTGATGTTTGTCCATATTCATCAAGTCTTGCACTCCTGACTTACACTACTACTCGTGTGGCATGTTTGAACGCATGTACCAATGTTGATTTGTGTAAGACAATTCCGAACTCTCATACTGGTGACGATGCTCTCTTTGCTGCCGCGGCATACGAATAGATGAATAATTGAGTTTAGTTATTCAATAAGTGAGTAGCTGAAGTCAAGTTTAAGGTTTCACATGTATGCTATGCACTTATATAACTGACTGTTTGAAAAGCTTGAAAGTGTCAGCTATTTATCTAACTATGTGCCTATGTAACCTATCCTACGAATAATTGTTAAGAGTTCGTCCCTTACCTATCTATCTACCTACTTAAGCTTCCGTTTGAATGGTTTGCGAAAGTTCTTTATTTACCTACCTACTGTAACTGTGTGAGAGAACCCTGGAGACTTATGAATGATGCGCTTTTGACCTTCTATTTGCCTACCTACCTATCAATCTAATCATATGTAAGAACTTGTTAAGTTCATCAGTGATATTCTTTTAACCTGCTATTTATCTACCCTTAGGTAGATAGGTAGGCAGATAAATAGCTGTGTCGAATCCAGTGATAATATCACTGAGATTTGTTATGTATTGAACGCAGTCCTAGTACCAAGACGAAGTTACAGAGCTAATCCTCATTCCCATTGAAGTTTTACACATGGTCCAGGTACCTGTCACGTTCCAATGATCCGACCGGTACTCCTTCCATTTCTAGCGATGCTACAGGAACCGTCCACACTTTGTGACCGGCTTTCACTACCCGTCACAATATCATCTGCAGCCCCATACTGCTGCAGCTTTCAGAGGAAGCTCTTATGCAAGTCCGATCGTCACTCTCCGTCACAAGAATCATTGCATTAGCAGATGCAATTTCTGAATCTCTATATATTTCAATGGAGACTTTCGTGCAGATACAGAATTCATTATCGATGCTGATTGACCACATGGACTCAAACGCCGTAGAAAAGTTCTTGCAGATTTCAGTAGCCGCTTACTACAATGTCTGGTATCACTCGCGTTTTTATGATTATCGGTTAACACATCACATTCCGCACATTCCTGTCAATCTAAATGTCCTGATATGCATCACGGTCTCTTTGCAGGTACCGCTACCCATGAGAATTTCCTTTCTGACCACAGAACCCGTAGCCGTTTCAAGCGATATGACCGCATATCATGCGCATTCAGTGAGGGTTCGTCCGTCCGCCACGCTATCATTCTTGATTCCTGAACTTCTGACGATGTCACTAGACCTCATAGTACCCATCTGGCTTCCATTGTCGATCTAATATCGTCGCACTTTCCGACGCAGTAAGCCCATTCTCGTCGGCTACCAAGGTAGACCTGTTACAATTACTATACTCACTCCTATTCCTTGCACCCACACCAGTTTCACTCGAAGACTACGCATCCCTCACAGCTTCTTCACTAGTCCTAGTATTCATAACGATTTCTTTTCATGTCCTGCTAGAGTTCCCGGTTTCAGACGCGTTCTCCGAAAAACGCACAGCTTTCAACATCACTCCTCGTATTCCGCCTAGCTTCTTTCCAAGGACCGCAATACACACAGTTTCTTTCTAGAGCCTGATACTCGAAGCTTCTATAGACACGTTCTTGATATGCACGACACTTTTCCCCGACGGCCACACTGTGCCTACGATCATCTTTCTCAGTCTAAATGTTCCTCGGAGTTTCTTTCAAGCTCCAGCCAGCAAACACGATTTCAGACGAGGTCTCAATAAAAACGGCAATCTCAATGTCGATCCTCGTACCCTACACCTTTCATTCATCCTGTCGTAATTAGTAACGAGTTCTTTCAAGATCCAGAATGTCGTAGCTATTTCAAACGCTTTTCTCCTGTTTGCGTACGTTCCAATGAAAGTGTTTATATACCTACTCTCTTCGTCTGTTGGCCAAACACTGGCCATACATTCACTCAATTTTCTCTTAGCGTATGGGATCGCGGACGACGATTGTATATACATGGCAGTTTCAATACGCACCTTAGTGGTCATTTTAACTTCATAGCCATTTCTGATATACGTGATGGCTACTTTAAGTGTTCTGCAATCCTTTAAACTTTTGAACGCGCTACTAGTATTTCCGGCGTTTAAAACGCAGTTCGCATTATCCTGGTAGCTTCTTTCGTGTTCCCAACAGTCTTCGTAGTTTCTTTGTAGGTTCAGCTGCGGTACGTAATTACAGATGCGATTCGCATAAACACGCCAGTTTCAATAGCGATCATAGCACTCCTCCTGGCTTCGCTGGCAGTCATACTATATGTCGCGTTTTGACATGCATTGCTCATATCCCCAGCTGCTTCGCTGCCGGCTTTAGACCCCAACTAGTTGCTTCGTGGATCCCACTAACGTAAGCCGACTCAGTGAAAGTCATTCTAAGCAACGCAGTTTCATAATCAACTTCAATATTGATTTTGGCTTCAAAGGCTGTTCTGTTGTGTATCGCCATTGCTTTCAACGTTCACAGATCCATCAAGTTTCATGACGCGCTCTTTATGCTCCCACCGCTCTTACTATCGTTCCTTTTATTCTCGGTAGCTTATTTCCTGTTCTCAGCAGCCTTAGTTATTTCTTTGTGGATTCCTCTACTGTAAATCGGCTCACAAAACGTTACTCTCAGCACCGCAGTATGAATAACGAGTTCAGTACCGCTGCTGGCCTCATTGAAGATCCCACTACATATTGTACCAGTCGTCAAGATCCTGAGATGTATTCCGGTTTAGGAAGCGTTTCTCATACCCCTGACAGCTTGTTTCATAGTACAAAGTATCTTTACAATTTCTTAGTAGGCACAACTATGAAAAGCCGGCTCACACAGGCACATTCTAAGCACCGGATATCAACAGCGACAGTGGTACTGCCAGTCGCCTCATTCGCACTCCCACTACATGTCGCTATTGCTTTCAAGGTTCTGAGATTCATTGAGGATTAGGAAACGTTACTTATATTCCCAGTAGTTTCACTACTGGTGCTCATACTCGTGATAGCATATTTCATGGTCCCAGTTGTCTCGTTGTCCTTTCTTCGATCTTACTATTGTTACCAGGCTCGCAGGAGGTAACCATAACCATCGCAGTCTCAATGCCGATCTTGCTACCACTATTGGATTCATTGGTAGTCCAACTACATGCCGTAGCTGCCTTGAAAGTGGAGAGATCTATCGCCATAGAGGAGCGTTCCTCATATTACCGATGATTTTCCTGCGGGGCTTCACATCCTTGGTATCTAGTTTGGCCATCCCAGTAGTCTTCGTTATTTCCTTGTAGATCAATCAGGCACATGGCAGCTCAAGGGTGCTCACTATAAACAAGGCAGCTTCAATAGCGACCTTGATACCGCTCCTGCGTCATTTATGGTCAACTAAAGATCCCACTTGCTTTGAAGGTCCTGAGGCTATCCCAGTTTACGATACGTTCCTCATATCCGCAATTGTTTCACTTGTGACCCTCATATCTCCAGTAGCCAGTTTCGTGGACCCGACAGTCGTCAAAGTTTCTTTCTAAGTTTCTCCAGCGCAAGCCGGTTCAAAGAACGTCATTGTAAGCGAGACAGTTTTAATAGCGACCCTAGTGCCGCTCCTACCTTCATTTTTGGTCCCATTACATATAGCTGCTGCTTTCAAGGTCCTGAGTTGCATCACGTTTGAAGACGCGTTCATCATATTGCCGATGGTATAAGTGTGCGTCCTCAAATCTCCACTAGCTTTTTTCGTGGTCTCAGCAGTCTTCATTGTTTCTTCGTAAGTCTCTCTTACGTAAATCGACTCAAAAAATGTCATTCTAAGTACGATAGCATCAATAGCTAACTTAATACCGCCCTGGCTTCATTGGTGAACCTATCATATGTTGCGGCTGCAGTCAAGGTTTTCAGATGTATCGAGGTTTACGACAGGTGCCGTATATTCCTCCCAGTTTCACTGCCGATTCTACTACCACGTTGTTAGCTCGTTTCATAGACGCAGTAGTTGTCAGTTTCTTTTTGAGTTC